TTAAGAACAAATCTGTGCGTACGAACGGTTCTTGCATGAGGCCCATTGTTCCAATAATAAAAAAAAATTGTCCCCAATTATGTTGGCTTTAAAAAAAATCTTAGTTCAGAGTTCCATGTTGTTTCTCCGATCTGGACAAATATAAAACACAAACGGTACTGACAGATGAAGAAAATAAATTTTATAAATGTGTTTTTTTTCCTTAAATTTGAAGAATATTGAGTCTGTATATTCATGATTAGGTGTTAAATAACAATAAATCTCATTAAAGCAGAATACAGTATGCCAAGAGTAACTTTTAAAGAAAATAGTTCAGTTCAGTTCTGGAACATAACCTCAGGGTTCAGAGGGGTCACTTCATGCTACAAAGAATCAGAACTAAACTAAATGCATGATTGGGAATAATTATGTGAAGATAATTTTCAGATTTCTTTTCTATGTCATAAAAATTGTTCATATATTTTCATATTGAACAAGCTTTTCTTTAGATATTTTTATATATTTTATGAAGGATGAAATGTTTTTATAAATGTGTTTACAAAATGATTAACCCTCAAGATGTTAAACAAATGTTCTTATGGTATAAAAAGCTCTACAGTGAACAGATAATGGTAGTTTAAGTTCAACCAAATAAGTCACATGACCAGAGGCTCATTTTTGTGAAAGAAGGAAAGCAGGTTGAAAAATGTTTGGATGGATCATGTTGGTGGGAAGCTTCAGAACCAATCAGAGAGATCCATTAGGAACCAGAGGTCTTACCCCATTTAGATTAACCAATCAGATGAAAAAACTGTGAACTAAGGTGGTTGTAATATACAATTCTGTGTCTTTTTGGTCTTTATCTATAAAGTGGGGCACGAGAAACGCACAGCAGTGAAATTATTTGCTTAACTTCTCTGTAATAAACTTATTAACTGTTTGTCTGATCTCTTATGAAAATGAACACTTACTAATAATATATTCATAATACATATTAAATTAGTCAGACATTGGGAAAAGTGTATTTCATCAATGATAGATCAGTTCTTTAGCTTCATTGTTGTTGAAAAAATTGTTCCAGTTGTTTTAGCAGCACATCTGCTATTGTAAAGACAGTGAGGGTCCTGATTGGTCAAAAAAAATTTTCACATGAAAAATATTAAACTACCAGTGGTGGGCACCAGCCCGCTAAAGCACAAATCCGCTAATTGCAGACCTAAATATTT